CCGACTCGGACGACAGCTCGAGCTCGACCAACCTTCTCATGCTCAGCGAAGTCGCGCTCCAGGTCAAGGTCGAGTCGCCGCTCTCGTCGGACGACGATTTGCACAGCAAGGCCAAGACCAAATTAGCGTGTTACCTCAAGAACGAGACGCTCTACTGCCCATTCGTGTAGAGTAGGTTGATGCATATTTGTCGATCGTAATTTAACCTCTTTTGCTGCGTGCGCTTCTTCCGCCCGCCCGGTGTCGACACCGCAATGCACAGCGTAGCGTCCAGCATCCACAAGGAACAGAAGAGTGTCTATAGCGCATGTCCGCTTCAGTCTCCGAGCGAAGCACGATCGGCTCTAAATTTGCAGGCGACGATTTTGACCGGCCGCGATTTGAACGACTATCATCATTCCGGCATTGCGATCTTCTCGCACCAGCTTCTTCAACTTGCAGTGGCTGTCGACGGTCGACTCTTGCGTGTCACAGCAGCGGGTAGCTACTAGCGCTCTGCTGCCGTCGCCGACGAAATCAAATACCGCCGCCAACAGGCTCCAACTATCCAGCGCCGCATGTTTCACACCAAGCACGGCCATAAATTGCGCTACCATGTTCTTTATAATTCAGCTACAAGGCGGGGCACGACGTGCCTTGAACGTCCTTGAGGTACCCGCCAACCACCGAGGCAGCGACGTCGTGCGAGTAGCAGCCCGTGGCGTTGGAAGCCGCGAGATAGGCGACGTGGTTGCCCGAGCCACCGACGAGCGAGTCCATGTACGCATCGGCCTGCTGGCGAATCGCAACCGCCGCGTCCGAGAGGCCGAGGCGGGAGGCTGAGGCGTCGCCGATGGTCGATGTCGTCTTGATAAATGCATGGTCGACCGTCGTGTTGAGCCGGAACCCGGCGGCGGTGAGAGCTTCCGGGTGGTTGTTGCGCCGGAAGGCCGGCAAGACTGAGGCGCCGACAGCTTCGGTCGAGTACGTCACGTACGTCGTGTTGCCGGTGAACGGGTACACCTCTTTCGTGACGCGCTTGAACGCTGGCGCCCCCGATGACGTGATCGTCGTCGTCGTCGTCACGGTCGTGCGCTGGTCAAACCACTGCGTCGACGCGTTGTTGGTGTACACTTGGTCGTTGTAAAAGGTGTAGCTGGATGCGACCGAGTAGAGCTTCGTGCCGCGCGACGTTGTGATGCGCGTCGAGATGGCGTTCTGACGCGTCGCCGTCGTCTTGATCGTCATGTCGAGGCCTATCCCAACGTCGAATCTCAATCTCAGAATGCTGAAAAACCTACCGTGGACATCGGCAACGACCTTTGGCGCGACAGCGACCGGAATCGTCTGGCTCTGCACGACCGCCTGCGTCTGGTTGCCGGCCTTGTCAAGGTACACGAGGAGGTTGCCGGACGTCGGCCAGTAGTCCAGGCCGTGGCCAACGCTAAAGCTTACGTTGTGGGCCTTGCCGTCGACAAAAATGCCGAGGAATGGCGTCAAGTCCACGAGGTATGTTGGCGCTTCAAAGGCACCGGTCGCGACGACTGGGCGCCACATGTATGGCGAGATACCGCCAGTGTAAATGAGCGGGAACGGCCAGAATGTGCTCACTAGCTTGCCGTCGACAAGAATTTGGAACTCGCGGAAGGCGCCGTTGCCGCAGTTGGTCTGAAGTGGCTCCTTGTACTCGTTGGGCGGGTTGGTGTAGTAGAACTCGTCGCACCCGTGGTGGCTCGTAAAGACCTCGAGAAAAAGCTGGTCGAGGTTGCGCGGGAGCGTGACGAGGCCGCCGCTGCTTGTCGACGGCTGCACGTGAAACCATCCGTACGCACCGTTCTTGTTGGAAATGCTCAGCACATTATCAGGCTTGAGCGGCGCCGACCGGATCTCGCTGCCGCACGCATCCTTGGGCTTGTAAAACTCGGCCGTCACACTCACGGTGAAGCTGCTCGTGTACGTCTGGTCGACGACATTGTCGAGGGCAACGACAACGTTGCCGCCCACCGCCAAGACGTCCTTGTAGTGCGAGACGTCCTTGAGCACCTCCCACGTCGCGCCTGCAGCATAAATTCGTCAAGAATTTATGGTAAAGATTGCACGCAAGAGCACCTGTCTTGCGACTCGGTTCCTGCGTCGTCGTCCGAAGCAGCTCATAGCCGTTCGCCCACACAGCAGCGATGCGGTCGAATTGCCGGCCCGCGGGCACGGACGCCGACCAGCGCAGGTACACGACCGAGTTGGCCGGGTCGGACGCACACGCTGGGATCGGGAACGCGCCTTGGAACGGTTTTCCATACGAATGGCCAAAGACATGGTTGTCCATGAGCACAACCTTGCACGCGGGCGTGTCGTCGTGCACTTGGTTGGTGTTGACGGGCAGCGTCACATCGATGGATGCAATGTTGTCGGCCGCCAGAGCGACCGCCGTCAAGGTCGCCAGGCGAAGCAGCATCGTCCACGAAGTGGCGAAAGGAAAAGTGAGCGCTTGGATCGACCATCCTCGATTGGTCACTCGACAACCTTTCTCTGATAATAGACCCGAAGATCGCAATCTGATTTCGGTACGGTACAATGTTGCGGCGAGAGTCGCTCTCACTCTGTGCTCTCACGTACACAATTCTATAACAGTATTGAGTTACGATAATAGAGTACTACAGTCGATAGCAAACTTACTAGCCTATTGTTAATGATAGGACATTAACTTATGGCCCACTAGCACTCATTCAAAAATCTCGACGTAATCAATCTTAATTTTGTATTGTATGTCTCTCTCTGCAAGAATACCATATGGGTCCCCATGGCCTAATGGATAAGGCGTCGCTCTCCGAAGGCGGAGATTGCGGGTTCGAGTCCCGCTGGGGACTTCACTTTTTAATTTTATTCGTTTGCACACCGAGATTGGCGAAAAGTCTAGTGAACAGCACGCATGCATACCCGTTATTAATAATTAATACATTTAGTAGCGAGGACATAGAATCAATCATTTCCTTGGTATTTGCCTTATTGATTCATGAGTAAGCCTTGGCATTATTTACATTTGGTTGAGGCACTAAACTGCGAGCTCCAGCGGCAGTATCCATGCTATTGCTCGTTCATGACGACAGGTGAACCAAAATCTTGGCGGCGAGAGGTGGCGGCGAGTCACTGAGAGTCCAAGAGTCCACGACACTCTCATCAAACGGCAGTGGTGCATGGATGCTGCAGGTACGTACCTTCCACATGTGACTGCGTCTATCTGAGAATCCTCGATTGTTTAGGCCCTATCTGCTCTTGTCGTGAAAGGAAAACACAGGCGGTCGGCATCTTGTCATGTTGGTAGGCACTAGGTATTTCGAGATCGCATTCGGTGCTGCGTGTGGGCATGCAGTGGCGCTGTCACGCACGGATAGTAGTAGCTGATCTGTTCGTCTCGGTTGTACTTGGCTGCCGTGCCACCCGACTTTTACTCTCAGACGGGACTGGAAGACGGCGCGTCCAACTGTGCATATTGGCCAAGGGTTGCAAAGATCAGGCCACCCACTTGATGGCGTTGATTCGCCGGCATCGATAGACCACCCTTCACAGAATGTTAGAACGCGGGTGCAGTGGCATCGACCCAAAAACCGTGGATCGAAATTGTGGACCGACACCACCCAAACACACTTTCGGAAAACCTTGTACGAGTACTAGGATAACGTTAGTAAGCAGGCGACCCGTCGACTCTAGGTATATTTGTTATTTCCCGTCCCAAATTGGTGCATGTTACCGTACTCTTAGCATGATGGACTAACAGTAAATTGTCGGTTTACTGCGTCACGCTTTGAGCTGCTCTCGACCGCACCGTCAATGAGACCATCAACCCTCCAACGCCTAAACAAACAAGTCTTTGTCGAGCTAGTACACCACAGACGAATTGACGACTTGTGCACCTCGACGTCTGGAGCCATTGCCGTGCCGCTGATGGCCGTCGCGTCGGGACTCGAGAATTATCTAGTGTGCTTCCATCGTCCGCGATTTCAAAGCTGAACTCGGTGCGAAGTCAAAAGTAATGCGATCATCGTGCGGCTTGAAGAAAAATCATAGTTAAGTCGTCTGGAGGAGGGCCGCCGCCCAAGTAGAAACTGGTGGTCATGCGGCTTGCTGGACGTTGGATCTCGACTTGGAAAAGAAACGAATCTTCGTCCTCGGCGTCACCGGCGACTCGAGGCGTCCGCAGTCGACATCCCTTGTTCATTTGCAGTCTCCTCGGGTGCAGACACCTTGTCGATCATTTGCAACCGAACCTCGTCACAAGAGCAAGTGACCAGATTGTGCACCACTCCATGCGTGTACCTTGATCTCTTGAAAGCGTTTTTCCGCCACTTCTGGTTCGTCGATCGAGCAACACTGCTTTGTCGCCTTTGGCAAAAAACCTCCAGCCGATATTCACGTAGCCGTTGATCGCCCGCCCAATCTGTTGATGTACTACCGAGCAGGTCTCTATAGCCGCCTGTTGGAGACTCCAACAGGCGACTATAAGGACAAAACCGCATGTGGTCGTAACCATCATGAAATATTTGTCCACGTCGAACCGCAGAACGGTCACGAAGGCGCGACCAAGAGTATGGTTGTCGATCGTGAATATTCACATGTCGACAGAGCAATTAAGATCTTAGAGCTGCTTGGGCGACGGCACGTCCTTGGCTGTCGCTGTCGCTGCAAACGACGTGATCCCGAGCGTGATGACGCCGTTGTAGAGCCAATGCAAGGCAAAGCAAATCAAGTATTGCGCCGGGCGGTAGTAAATGCCAATGTCCTTGAGGATCGCCGGTGGCGTCTAAATGCATTGGCTCGTCATCGCGATCCGCAGCCAATCATCGCGTACC